GCCACCATTCTGGTCTAATCAGCTCTCATTTCTTGCCATGTCCCTAGTCCATGCTACCATTGTCTATAACCTAGAATGCTACAGTGAGCTCTTAAATGCATATCTCTTCATCTTCTCTTGCTCCTTTCATTTCAATTTCCACTCTTAATCCTAAGTGAACATTAAAAATATATAGTACATACACACAACAGAATACTACATGACAGTAAAGAATAACATAGAATCTGCAAAACACCACATAACATGGATGAACTTGGAGGATATTATGCTGAGTGAAATAAGTCAATCACAGAAGGACAAACATAGTGTTAGTTTATTATTGTAAAATGTCAAGGAAAGGTTTATATATGGAAGGAAACTTTGTTGGTTAGCAGGGGTGGGAGGCAAGGGAAGGGAATACTGCCAAAAAAAAAAAAAGAAAAGAAAAAATGCATTGACACATGTCATTTTAGTTTTGTATATTTCACTGTACATAAATTATATTTCAATAAAATGTATTTTAAAAAATATACAGTGTATATATGAAGATTTCCTCCTATACTAAAAATCACTCAGTAACTTCCATTTTTATTATAATAAAACCCAAAATCCTAACAAGAACTTGCATGAATAATTCACTGTCCTACTCATCACTTCAGGGCCTTTTCATATGCTGTTCCCTCTGTCTTATTTCTTCTTTTTTCTCTTCACCTTCTGAAGACTGTTATTTGTCTCTGTTATTTCTTCTTGAATCCTTGTATAGATTAAACATCCCAAATAAGGGTACTCTGCACATATCTTCATAACACTCTAAGCTTTAAATGAGAACTAATTATCACTCTCTCTCTCCTTGAGTAGAAAGTAAATTACATAAGGACAGGGACTTTGTCTATTCTACTCACTATTGTATCCCTTGTGCCTAACATACTGCTTTACATGTCAGGTAATTAATAAATAAACTAAATGAATGTACAGTGAATACATGAAATATTTCAAAGAGGAATTGTAGTACTTGTAAAAAAAATGGTGTTTTGACAGAGTAGATTTGAATTTCTCATTTCAAATTTTAAATATTTAAGTTTATTAAA